TGCAACGAGCAGCAAGAAAAAGAAAGAGGAGGGCCTTGTCACTGGAGACGGGGCGGCATTTCAGATCGACGGTAACCTTGGTTTCCTCGCGGGCGTGAACGAGATGTTGCTTCAGAGTCAATATCGGCATTCGGCAAGGTGAGGTAATTTGCATCCTCGCGCTGTTGTGGCCGGACCGCAGGAGTCGCGGAAATGCACGCTGGCGTGCTGCCTTACTGAGGGGGTGACACTACCTCTTTGTTATCTTTTTCTCTCCATGTCGTTCTTTTTCGCCACCCCCCCATGTGCTCATACAACGACGAGTGTAGCGGGGTGACGCGATGCGTACTTACCAAACCAGAGGATACACAAATATAGGGAAGGAGAGGATACGTCGTCCAGGCAGCCTGAAACAGTGCAGATGACAGCAGCTATTAGAGGAATACGATAGATTTGCCGTGGGAATGTTTCCACTGAAACCTAGTAGGGGTGTGAGGAAGTTGAAGGGGAGTACTGTTGGCCCAATGCCCGAAGGACATCTTGCAGCCAAAACTAACATGAGGGGGGGGGGGTACTCATAGTCGTGCATGCCGTAGTCGTTAGACCATTGACCTCGCATCCCTACAAAGCCGGGACGGAGCACGCCGGGTTCTCACCGGACCAGGCTCTCACATCGCCAAGCGCGAAGCGCCGTGAGGTATTCGGCGAGTCGCATGAAGGGTGCGCTGCATCTTGCTAAGGGTGTTGGGCATCTTGTGCTTACTTCCTTGCGTACGGATGACAGCTGCGTATGACTTAATTTATTTTCTGGTGCATTCACTTCCAGAGACAGTTATGAGCACTGTGTAACTGCCTCGAGGGTGCTTGACCAATTTAACACAACGTGGTGCGATCATCCCCCTTGCGCGGAGTGAGGTTTCTCTACCCCGCACAACATGATCTACTCGACCACCATTATGAACACCGAGGGGGGGGGCTTGTTTTACAACGTCGTTGCCAAGCGACGAAAACCCAACCCCGACGGCAAACACCGGGAGGGGGGGGAACTAACATGGGGATATGGGAAAATCAGCAAGGGAGGCAGCAGAAATATGATTGGATGCCGCAGTACATCAGAAAACATGGCAACAGATCAGGCGTAATGAACGGGAGATACGGGATGGAATCCTTTGGAGGATAAAAGAGAGTTGCCATGGAAATACGCGGACGCTGTCATGATTGTGACACCCGAAAGGGAAAGGAAGGTAGCGAACGACAGAAAATACTTGGAGGTGTAGTCTCCATGACGCAAAGAGAACGGCAACTCTTGCTTTCTCCATGGCCCAATGGACTGTGAGAAAAATATTGTTTTATTTCGAGTAGGGGACCTAGACTTGCAAGAAACAGAGGAAGAGACGTACCAGTACACAGCATGACAGCGGAGGAAGAAAGTTCGAAGACATGGCCGATGTGACAAGGCAAAATATAATAAGATTCGTGTCATTGCAAAATGTGCTACAGTATTAAAAAAGCGATGGTTAAAACGTTGATTGTGGCGCAGGTAAGTTTAGCGAATTCGGCTGCAGTGAGAAAACAATCGTTGTGACTGGGAGGTAGATGGTGGTAAGCCCAAAATGCCAATTAGAAGGGAGACAAGACTAACATATATTTTGGTATGTGTGCATAGAAAATGGAGGAAACATACAGAGAAACGCCAAGAACACCCGACTGCAGGAAGTGTTTATCATGAGAGAGTTGCTACAGTGAGAAAACAATCGTTGTGACTGGGAGGTAGATGGTGGTAAGCCCAAAATGCCAATTAGAAGGGAGACAAGACTAACGTATATTTTGGTATGTGTGCATAGAAAATGGAGGAAACATACAGAGAAACGCCAAGAACACCCGACTGCAGGAGGTGTTTATCATGAGAGAGTTGCTACAGTGACAAAACAATCGTTGTGACTGGGAGGTAGATGGTGGTAAGCCCAAAATGCCAATTAGAAGGGAGACAAGACTAACATATATTTTGGTATGTGTGCATAGAAAATGGAGGAAACATACAGAGAAACGCCAAGAACACCCGACTGCAGGAAGTGTTTATCATGAGAGAGCTGTGGTCAATCGTCAAACGACCAAGGGCAAGTAACAAGTGAGAATAATCCCCCTCCCCCCGTCCTGCCTGGCCCATCCGACGTCGTTATCGGGTCGACCCCCTACCGCTGGCTCCTGTGCGGCCGGCAATCTCTTTTCCAACAGCTCAAGCGAGCAAGGCCCGCTCTCTACCTCAGATACCGTAGATGTGCGCCTCCTCCCAGCCCTGCCGGATGAGTGGCCAGCCGGTACGTTCCGCGGGCTGAGAACTAGGGGCGGGTACGAAGTGGATGTGGTATGGAACGGGGGCGAACTTTCTGCGGCTTCTCTTCGGCTCGTGGAGAGCACCTCTGCTGCTGCAGGTGCCGGAAATGGCGACAAGAGCCATGGCAGGCCGCTTGGCGTTAAGCCACCGCGACTGAGAGTACTGAGCCGGACGCAGCTGACCGCGGTGCTGGTACTGTTGGACGTCGACGGCAACGAAGTGATTGAACAGAATGAGGCAGGGTTTCCATCGAACGAGCGAGGCGTTCTCGAGGGAGGCATATATTGGTATTCTGTGAGCATGGAGTCGTTGCGGACGGGAGAGGAGGCGCGTTTTTTTGCGGCTGGTCCTTGAAGGGGCTGCTGTTGATGAGAACGATAGAGGAACGTCTAGGCGCAGCGGAAAATAGTACAGCACGCAGCGTTGTGGGCGGCGGTGGCGGCGATGATCTGGGAGTATATGTACTCGCCTAGCATCTACTGCGGGTCTCCCCCTGGCGTGCATTGTCACATTTGTTGGAGACGCAACACAATTGTATGCAAGCACCGGGGCAGCTTTCGCCCAGTTGGGGTGGAAGGGTGGGGAGGGGTACCCCCGGCAATCCTTGCGTCGCGATCGGGTTCTAGCCGTTGCAAATTCGGCAGCAGTGCTTGAGTTGGCCAGTGGAGGAACCGTGAAAGTTGATTTTGATCGTTCAAGTCCCCATTGATTTTTAGTGATTGCCTGACACAGTTGCAACAGTGGGCGGTTGACTTTCACCATCCGTACGGTAGTGTTTTTGTTGGAAGTGTTTATTTTTTTGCTTATTGCTGACGTCCTTCGATCTGTTCATGTGGCGCAAGCCAATTTTGTGAGTTTGCGTTTGAGGAACCGTGTTCTCGATGAACCGTCATGTTGATGGTCATGCTGTTCTTGCCATTGTACGTGGGTGGTGGCTCTGTGAATAAAGAGTTTGTGATCGCTGTTTTCTTTGGTCTCAAACCGAGCGGAACCTGACCTACATATGAAGGCCATTAGCAGGGGGGGATATTAGCGGTTCCTGGATCTACATCGGGGGTGGGTGGGGGGGGGGCATTTTGATGCTCGCTTGAAGTCATGTGAACATTGACCAGGCGTCCTTTCGAGACGGAGCAGCGGGGAGGGGAGCGCAGGAGGTGAGCGTTGATTGGTGGTCAGAACGCTACACAGTCTGGGAAATGTGATGATTTTGAGTAACCATGCAAGGCTTCTGCTACAGATTGGTTGTTGCGTACTTTTAAAGCTTTTGTTCGCACCCCGCAGACAATTAGAAGATGTTCACTTTTCCCATCATGTACATGTCTGTGGGTGTGCTACTACAGCATGAAAATGCAGACGTACATTCTTGTTGTTGGTTGTGTTGTTGGTGTTCTCCGTACCATGTGCGAAGTACCAAATTTGGACACCTTGAAGGAAAACCAATATTTGAATTGAGACAATGCACCAGAGGCATGTGGGCAAATCCGATCGGCGTACGCAGTCGATCTTCTCCCAAAACGTACGGAATTCGGCCGTATTGATTGCAACAACGCGCGACTGCACTGCGTCTTCGTGAGTAGTTGCACTGAGTTCTGGCTCTAGGGCTTTGCAATTTTCGGCGAGGGTCTAAAGACTTCATGCGATACGAGATTTGGGGCCTTCACACCCGGCGAGCTTCGGAACACTCACTCAACACAGTATTGTATCTTGCTGTGCTTCACCCGAACGTGCACGGAAGTCCCCCCTTCGCCAACATTTACTCCTCCTTTTCGTCGCTGTGCAAGTCGGACGGCGCTCCTCTTATCCTCGAAACACAGAGCCACAGACCGCCTCGAGATCAGACCGCAAGTCCCTCCCAGCACGGGGGGGGGGTGATCTTGTACCTCGTCCAAGGGTTAGCCCTCCCGAGTGTCAAGCGCGAGAGGGCACCTACCCCCGTAGGCAAGGTGACGCCCTCGCATGCTTGCGTGCTCGGTCGTTTTTCGAGAAACACATACACGAAGTCGTTCTGAAGTCTCGACGCCAATGAGCCGAGGGTGCCAGCAGCTCTGGCTCGACTCTCCGTATTAATGGGTTCGATATTTGAACTACAACAAGAACGGCAACAACAGTAATACAAGGAGATATAGACACAAGTCTTCCGACAGAATTGTCATTTTCCGACCTGCCCTCGGTCATTCTCTCCCGTATTTGTCGACCGGGGTATTTGCGGCGCTTCACGCTTCCCCGTCTACCTGTCAAAGAGTGGCCTTACCATTCCTGCCCAAATTCCTGCCGACCATGGATACCATGGTCACGGCCGACGGCCTCCTGTTTTGTCCACACTATTTCGTAGTAATGCGAACGTCGAGTGGGTCTTCAGTCAAAAACGGGGAGAATGATGTTTGTTTTCTTCTTTTCTTCTTCCCTTCTTTCATTCCACGTCGTCGATGGATGGACTCTCTTTTCCATCCAGACTTGAACAATCATCTTCATCACCGCCCCAAACTACGTCATCCTTGACCCCACAAATACATACCCTCCCTGGGTAAAGAGGGAAAGCGCTTCAGATGAGGCCGGGGCTACCCCCGGCTATTCATTGTAACAGCTCCATCTTAGACTACTGCAACACGAATGTTGTCTAAACGAGCTTGACAGTTTGGCGCTCCAGGTACGCAGCCGTTTTGCCCTGTCATTCACGGCTACGGCGATGTCGTCCAGATCCTTGCTGCGAGCTTGCTCGTACACCTTCGGGGTTGGGTGAGTCCCTGCAATAGAGAAGGATCGCCCTCAACGTGTTGAAATGCTTCATATGCCCCGCCATTTTATGAGCCCCCCTCGAACGAAGTACACATTTATTTACATGTAGTTTCGAATTTATGCCCGCCAACGAGGGGGTCTCTCTCTACCCTAGTTATTCTTATGGTGTGGTGATGTTGTTTGCCAACCCAGTCAGAAACTCAAGTCGAATCCGTAAACAATCTCGTCGTTTCTCTTAAATGACGTTCCGCCCAAATACAAAGTCCAAAGTGCCTTGTCTAACTCTCCTTATGTTATTCCTAGAAGCTATTCTGCTTATTATGCGTCGGCTTGTCACGAACACGCACGCAGATATCTTCTTGGCCACACAGTACTGTGGTGGTATGCACGCGTGAAGAAGTCTGGTTGACCCGTGAAGATGAAATCACTTGTTATTACTCTTGCAGAACAGCAGCAGCAGCAGTAGCTGTTGCCTTGGGTATCGGTAGGAATGACACCAAGGGGCGCAGGATCCTCAGTACAAGCAGGGGCTACTAGGTCCTGTCCCCTGTCTTATCCTTCCGCGGGGAGTTACATCTCTCCGCGCCTTCTAGAAGGAACCATTCTCTTCTATGTTCCGTCTACACATCTGAATCCTATAATACTAGCCCAACCTGGAGGTTCTCATACGCAGATACTATAAAACCTCGGAGTCTTGGCAAGCAATTATTGTCGAGTCTCTAAATGAAAGTATCGAGGATGTGGAGCTCCAAAACAGCACAATTCACCCTCCCACACCTCTCACTCGATGGGTCGCAAGACCATCGTTTGACTTCTTCTAAACAACAAGAAGACACCTAAAGGAACTGACGGGGCTAAGAAAAGCCGATGACGACCGGAACAAGGTCGAAACCGAAGAAAGGAAAACACGAAGAAAGTAAGAAAGCTAGAAGAAAACAAAGGCCGTCAGAACGACAAAAAGAAGGATCTCACCGCCGGAACGATAAAACAGACCGGTATCGAAAAAAAAACGAGAAGATACGCCACTCACGCAGTCGCCACGGCAGCGAATAAGCGACAACAATGGGCGCGAAACACCTACAGGTCGTGACCAAACGCTAAAGGCACTAAAGAAAGCGAAAACCAACCAAGGCTAAAAACAACCCAAACAACGCTGAGAACAATCCAAATAGTGCTAAAGAAGACCCAACAATGCGAAAAGCAACAGAAGGCACAGACAACCAAGCATGTCGGGCGCGCAACGTCATCAGGCAACGAATCAGTCCCAGGGTCACCACGCGACATGCCGACGTTGCGAAGGATTCCCTTAAAAAGAGCGCTGCCGCTGTGAACTTGGAGGCACCAGGATCCGGAGACGGCGGTTTCAGCGGTGGAGCAACGAACATCAGGAAGGGCGAGCTTGACAGGGCCAGGATCGTCTAAGAAGCGGACGACGTAGAAGTCGGACGGTAGAGGCGGTCAAGAAATCTTCCCCAACCACCAGAATCCATCGCGCGCTTTGTACCAAAAGAAGGCGCCTGCAGGTAGCGGAGTATTGGCGAAGCGACGGTCCCATGTTGAACGAGAGACGAGCGAATAGCCCGAAGGCAAGGCTCGCTCACCTTTGGCGCGCGCCATCTCGCGGGTGGCCGCACCAATACGCATCGCCCGATAGCGGCGATTCGTTTGGCGGTGTTGATCAGGCGAATCCATCCAGTACCGGAGAATGTGGATCTTAGAATGCTGGAGGTCCAACTCACGTTCCCAAGAAGGACGAAGAAGACCTTTCCAACAATGCGTTTGGTATAAAACAGCGACTGTGCCACCACGACCACGAACAGACTGATGGCCACTAATGCGGTCAACCTCGAGACGTCTTGAAATCGCAGAGCGCCGTAACCGCCATCTCTATGACATCCTTCGCCGTACTGCGATGGTGGCCACGACTCCTACCGTCAAGCCCGAGACGACGTCTTCTGCTGGGCTGTCAACTCCAGAGCTTCGGGCTTCAACCACCGGTGGCGGAGCGAGGTCCGCAGTCACCGACAGGCTCGGTCGTGTGGTTGGCCAGGACATCTAAGATGTGCTCGCTGAGGCCTCGCAAGACGCTGCAGTCCTTGGGCCGCGCAGCTGTGGGTCGTTGTTCTTCCTCTGGTGACATGTCCTTTACAGCAGCGGTGAGTGTGGGCGAGTGTGTGTACAGCTCTGAACAGCAGTTGTTGTAGAGATAACCAGCCGGATCGCGGTCAGGTGGGTGTGGACTGCTTTTCTCTTTGCCTAGAGGGGAAGCAGAAGTAGACGCGAGTGGTGGTGAGTGGCCAGTGTGTTGTGAGTGTTGAGTGGTGCTCTGCGGCAACTCGCAAGGGGGCACACGACGAGGAGCCATTTAAAACTTTTGAGACCCATAGAGCGGGTGCTGTGCACGCCTGGTTTTGAATTCGAATTTTGAATTTGAATATTGTGTGTTGTTTGCGGTCCTCCTGATGGACTCCCGAAGTTGGACAACACCAGGCGGCCGCTGGCCGCTGCTGGATCGTACCACCGAGATTTCAACTTCGACGGCACCCCAACGACACATCGTGTGTCGATTGTGATTTAGGGGGTGCCACCTGTGTCGACACAGACAGATTTTCCGCACCCTGCACGTGTGTTCGTCGCACATGTTCGAGTTTCTTAGACAAATCCGTGCCGTTACTAAATATGTAGGATGCGATGCCTGGGGACCTACCTGTTCAAAACCCTTGTCATATTTGTGTACGTTGCATTCAGCAATATACTAACCAGCACGTTTCAGTTGCCTCACATTCAACCGTCCCCTCTCTATCTATCGTTCCAGCTGGTGCATGTTGCATGTGCCACTTCATGCTCAATCTTCCACCGCTCACCGGGGGGGGGGCATCGCAAAATCGAGAAGGCACGTACACGTACCCCCAGCTTTTGCAGATCGTTCCGGGGAACCGTTCTCGTGTTCTTACAGCGGGCGGCCTCTGGAGAGCATCTGTGGCACCCACGACGCCGCGAACTCACAGCTCGGACACTCAGCCTCCTTCTTCGCTTGTCCCGCTGCTTGCAGCGACAGGTTTCTTGTTGGATTACTTTGAGCCACGTCGTTTTGCGACGACTCCCATGGAGGTGAGTGAAGCCCTCGCAGGACGGTCGGTAACAAAACACATTTGCAGTGGACTTTGTGGACTCTCGAGCAATACAACAGCAGCAGTGCTTGGCTTCATCAGCGGTGATTGTAAAGCGTCTTCCTCCCCCACCCTCGGCCACCTGCCTCGGGGTTTGGCCGTCGGTCCTCTCCCCTTACTACCTTTCATATAGACGTGCGCTCTTGGTGGACGGGAAAGCGATAAAATATGGTTGTGTATAGATAGCCGGGACGTACATGACCCGCTCTTGTCAGCACCAAAGCATGCCCACAGCCCGCTGCATAGGGAGGATGTATAATAGAGAGGACACACCAGCTCCCCCCCCGCCCCTGCCCCCGTTTCGTTTTCGGGCTCATCGTATGCATACGATAGTTATAGTTTGTCTGATCACCTTCAGCAGTATTCAGCACAGCTGTCTGTTGGCGGTGGAAACGCCATCATCATCATTGAAGTTTGAGTCTGTCTCCTCAGCGGGCCCGAACAGTTAAGGCCGTCAATGTCGGCGGGGGGGCAGGCTCAATTTCTTGGTTCTTCGCCACCGCCGAGCGCAGTTTAATAGTACCTACCGCTGATGTGTGTTTGTGCACCCCACACCAGTAGCACTGCTGTAGACTGATTTATTAGCGGTGTCAATTGAATGCTTACTGCACGCAGGTGCACCAGTATGAGGGGCAGATTTTAGCCTATAGAATAGTGGACTGTTCCTGACGGCGCGGAGAAAACGAGACCGCGACAGGTTGTTTCTGTTAGTTTGTATCCCGTCTGGTGCGAGCTCACCTTTGCTCCCTGCAGCCGGCACTTGCTGCTGCTGCTGCTGCTGCTGCTGCGGCGGCGGCGGCGGCGCTTCCGCCGAGCAAGATTAAGGTTAAGGTTGACATTCCTCCGCACCACCCCGGCGAGATCTTATCTCATGTTCTCCGAGCAGCAGTGTAGTCCGATCTTGGTCCTCCGGCTATGACCCCAGCACAACCCAACAGAGCTTCCGTGTACACAGAAGTAAACGATGTACACGTGAATACCTTGCGCTTTTCCCGCCAGGACTCTTCCCCTGCTGCCTCTTCTGAGACTCTGGCAACGACTACGACTGGGAACATGAGCCTGCTCGAGGTCCAAAGCGAGCAGCTCGCCATCAAGCTGCAGCAGGAGGCGTACGGCGGTGACGGCGCCGCCAACAGCACCGACGGCGACGCCGGTGTCAAGGACGACGCAAGCGGTGCCGGACGACAGCAGTGGCCAATCCCCGGAGCACAAGATTCCTCTTCGTTCTCGCAGGTGAGCGGTACATAGGCGGACCGGGGACGGAGGCAAGAATCGTTCATAAGCGGATGTACCCCCGTTTGTTTTCCCTGAGCCTTTCTCTCTTCTCGAATGTGTGTCGAGGGAATCGCCCTCAACAGAGAGACGTTGGGAAGCTTCATGTACCCTTCGTGGAAGAGGATCTCCAAATTTCTGTTCTTTTTTTTTTTTTCCGCCGCCGCCGCCGCTCTTTACGCACGAGAGGCCGACGCGGGTCGGCTCTTCTCCCGGTCCTGCCTGTTCATTTCGCCACCCTAAACGTCCTCTCTCAACCGCTTGGCCATTCGCCGTCCCCTCGCCGCCTTCCCCTCCCGCGCCAGACCCCGAACGCGTCTCAGGGCGCATGGGGGGTTCCCGGACGAAGCGCTGCCGACCTCCTACGCTCCGCCAACGCATCTGCTGCTGCTACCCCCGCCTCGTCTCAAGAGCAATCATCGTCTCCGCCTGCTGATACCGCCGCCACCCGCTCCTCCTCCGCCGCCGCCGCCGCCGCCGCCGACCTCGCGGTCGTGCCGCTAGGCGCCGAGTCGATCGGGGCCCTGGTGGGCATGGGGATCGACCAGGCGTGGGCGGCCGCGGCGCTGCGGCGCTGCGGCGGCAACGACGTGAGCCGAGCCGTGGAGTACTGCTTCTCGCACGACATGGGGGCGCTAGCCGAGGAAGACGCGAGGGCCTTCGAGGCGGCTACTGCTGCTGATGCGTCCCAGGTGGGGGGGGTGTACTCACGTAAACGCATGCCGTAGTCGTTGGTGTATTGACCTCGCATCCCTGCAATGCCGGTGCGGAGCGACATGTATGCCGGTTTTTCGCCGGCTCAGGAGGTCCCCTATTGGCTCCGGTTTGTTTCTACATATGTATACCTCAGTTGATTCAGGTCATTCGCCGTAGGAAGTACGGCAAGTCACATGAATCCTTTGACTTCAGCCCCGTTCGCTTCGTTTTTGGAACTACGATGGTTGCCGACGCAGCAGCAGCACCAGGACAATGAGACCCAGCACCAGCAGCCAGACGCAGACAGTGACATGGCCTTCGCCCTGGCGCTGGACCAGGAAGAGAGGAGGCTGTTCGAGGCGCGCCGCTCCACCGCCGCGGCCACCCTGGCCACCGAACAGGGCACCTTCGGCTCCAAGGTCAGGGTCGCCGCCGCCGCCCCCGCCGCCCCCGCCCCCCCCGGGGGCACCGGGCCCTCCGGGGGGGGGGCGTCCCAGGACCCCCCCCAACGATGGGGAGTTGCCGATGCGGAGGCTTTGATGGACGGCGGTGGTGAAGACCTCTTGTCCCAGGACACCGAGTTGCGCGAGGATGGGGATGAAGGCGGTGGTTTGGAGGAGGAGGAGGGGGGGGGAGGGTTTCGGGCTGTCCCCGGGGGGGGCCGGAGGAAGGGGAAGATGCCGCTCTTTAAGAACTCCGAGGGGGAGGTGGTGTCGAAGCACGACGCCGTCATTTGCGGGAGGTGAGAGGGAAAGGCTAACTATGCAGACAGAGGCAGGCAGAGGAAACGAAGCTCAAGGTCCAGCGGGAAGGAGTGGTGGTGATGGTGGTGGTGTTTGACCCGAACAACGTGATTTTTTTCTCCCCTTTTGACATGGTATGTGGGACTCTCTCTTTTTCACGCGCTATCGTTGCGCCTGCGCGCCTATCAAACAGACCACCACCACACACATACCCTTGAAACCATGCCCCTGCCTTCCTGTAGTGGAGTAAAGCTAAAACCTCCCCCCGTCCCCACGCTACGCCACCCCTTTCGTACTTGGTGTCTCTCCCACAAGGATGAACGCGCGAGACGCGTCCAACTTGGAGGGAGTCGGAGACCTGACGGCGGCTGGGGTGCGCCTCGGCAACCGCACGTTCAACAGTCTCAAGCGTGACATCCGCAAGAAGAAGGAGAAGGGGATGGCCGCTGGGGGCAGGGTAGAGCAGGGTGAGTGGGTGCCTGGAGACGACGACGATGACGTCATGGCTTCATGACGCTTCCTTCTCTCTCTCTCTCTCTCTCTCTCTCTCTCACACACCAAAGTGTGCGGTTGTTGGCGCTTGGTATCGTAGTATAATAGCACACCCTCTTGCTCCGAGTTTGCCGGCTCTCTCCATCCTAGTAGACACCACCTCTTTCACCCTCCCTAGCGTTTTAGACGTGGTATGGTGCGGTGCGCCGCGGTACGGTGCAGTACGGTACGGTGAGGCACGCCCCGCTCAAGATGTGGAACTGTGCAGTTTTTCCGCCGCGGGGAGCGGGGACAACCACGGGCCTCTTGGCGCCGTAGACACCAGTTGGCTGTACCACACGTCTCAGTGAGGCTTGTGAGAAAGTGTGATGAGAGTGTGATGACATAAACGGGTTGTTTTCACGAGCGGACTACGGTGGGCGGCATACCGGGGCATGCGATTTGCTTTCGTGGTGTGTGTTTGGCAAGATGGTGGCATTGAGAGCAGTTGCGCAGGTGGTTTCCTCCCGGGATGAAATGAAGCATTCTCTGTGATGGATGCCGAAAGCATCTGAACCCCCGAATCTTGATCTGTTTGCACCCCACTGGCAGCCACAAGGTCTACCCAGGAAGGGGTCATGGATCCCCGGACAAGGCTGCTCCTGTTCAAGATGCAGAACACCGGCACTCTCTTGGAGGTATATTTGTTTCGTTATTTGTTTTCTTGTCGGGAAATTTCAGTCGTTAGCTATAGTACCACCCTCTTTTGCAGTCCCGCCCCTTTTGCCTCGTGTTCTGGTTTTGCGTGCAAGCGTGCTGCCCTGCTGGCATTCATTGCTATTGTTGTCTCCAATTTTCAACACGCGTTAGTGATGTCCATCCAGTACCTTCTCTTTGTTCCCCGATCCTGCGTACCTCTTTGAAGGCAAGGGAATTTTTTTTACCGTGGTCACTAGATAACCCTAGATATGGCACAGTCTGGTCAAATAGGGCACAGTATGTGTTTCAAAAGGGTACTGAAGGGTGTGCTCTTCCTCCTGGTGGATGTCTGTCGCCTGTCTCTCCCCCCCCCCTTCCTGTAGAACAAGCCCGACCTCGCTCCTTCTGATGTGGAATCCCTCGTCGAACTGATCCCCATTCCGTGGCCGGGCTTCGTCCCGTACCACGTGTTGTACCCACAGGTTCACGGGATGGTTAAGACAGGGAAGGAGGCTCATGTCTACCACGCTCTCGCACCCGAAGACCCCGAAGCCATGACGGGTAGCCGAGGTGTCGCGTTGAAGATTTTCAAGACGACGCTCAGCGAGTTTGGAAACCGTGCGGCGTACGTTGACGGGGACCCTCGGTGAGCGACCCCCCCCCCATCCCACTCTCCTCTGGGCGAACGCCTTCGCGATGTTTTCTTCGCTGACGCCGTTGTTGCTGTAGTTATTTCGTCGTAGTTGTGGTTACAGATGTTGTTGTTGCTGCTGCTGCTGCTGCTGCTGCTGCTGCTGCTGCTGCTCATGCTGCTGTTGTTACTGTTGTGGCAGATGTACTCTAACCTGACTCCCTGACAGGCCCGGTCTGTGCGTAGTATTGTACCTCCACCAGACCAAGAGCAGACGCGCTCGGCCCTTGTTATTGTGGGAATGTTGGCTTGGTGTGTGTTTTTTTGTGTGTCTTTAGCTTGTAGCAACGGCGTCCGTCTTACGGCAGACTCCATCGACAGAGTGGCCTTGGCCAAGTTTGCACGACTAGTAATACTAGAATTGTGTGCGTCTTTTCTTGCTTTTTGTGCGTTACTTGTGGTGTGTTTTTTTTAGGGTAACGTTTGCTTAGGGATGAGCTCGTCGTTCAGTTTTTTCGACACGGAGAACGCGAGAGATCTACCTGAGAGTCCCATTCAAGCATTTTTCTCCTTCTAGACCCCTTCATGATAAAACGACCGCCGTTTTCTATCCCGATCTCCCACATTTTTCTTGCTACGTAAAGGTACGGCAACATGAGGTTCAACAAGCAGAGCCGGCAGAAGATGTTCGCCATCTGGGCCAAGAAGGAGCACCGCAACCTGCTCCGCCTTCACCGCGCCGGCATCCCCTGCCCGGAGCCGATCAAGCAGCGGGAGCACACACTTGTTCTGTCCTTCATCGGGAAGGACCATTGGCCCGCGCCGCAGCTGCGGGAGATCGACCTCTCCAAGGCGAACTGGCGCAGGTTCGTTGAGAAAAACGCAACGAAAAGTTCGCGAAGAAAGGGATAGTGACGGTTACATGCACCTGGAGGGGTGTTCAAGGATAAGTGGCAGTTACACTCACCGGGAGTGTCGTTCTGAGAATGGAAAGAAGAATAGGGACGGCTGCGTCCGCCGGGAGGGGCAATAGTGTTCTTTTTTTCGGTGCAACCAACCCCAAAACTTGTACCATGGACCGACCATGGCGACGCCATCTCATGTCCACGAGGTAAGTCGCCCGTAGGGTAGGCGAAGTAGAGTACGAGCAAATGCTGCTGTGGTAGATGCTGAGCGCGCCGCCTGCCTCCCTCCCTTTCGTTTCTCCCCGCAACAGATGCTACGCGCAGGTGCTTGAGCTGGCGCGGTTGATGTTCCTCAAGTGCCACCTGGTACACGCAGACCTGTCCGAGTACAATGTGCTCTATCACGAAAAGGTGACGGGGGCCAATTTCTGTGTTTTTGTTTCGCGGTAAACTCAACACCAGCATGAGACAAGAACCCGAGAAGAAAATGCATCTACAATAAACAACCACCGATGCTGTAGCAGGAATACTAAAAGCGAAATAAGCCCAGTATCCAGCCGTTTTTTCTGCCACTCATTGTACCCCATCCCCTTCGACTGCTGTCGTTTTATCTCGAACGGGTACTCTCTCTTTGGTTGTATGTTTCAGTATTTCCTAACATGATGCATCTATAATCCCATAGCAGAGCACGAAAGGCAACAAGCGGTGTACCAACGTGAAACGGCATCGGTTCCGCCGCCCCCCCCCCCCCCCCCCCTCTCTCTTTCTCCAGGTGTGCCACGTTATCGACGTGGGCCAGGCTGTGGACACCGGACACCCCAAGGCCCGAGAGCTCCTCCGCCGTGACATGTCGGTGGTAGAGTCCTTCTTCAGGCGGAAGGGAGTAACCGGCTGCCTCGAGGCAGCGGTGGCGGAGCGTTTCGTAGTGGCCTACCGCGGCCCTTCCTCGTGCGACCACGACGCTGCTTATGATGATGTAACCGGCGAAGGCGGTGGTGGTACGGGCGAGGAAGAGCGGCCCCTGAGCGGTATGGAGGTCATCCTGGAGGTGAGTGAGGGGGCGCACGCCCTTACGCCCGTGTACAGAGCATCTTCTGTAAGAGCCTTCAAGTAGGGCAGGTGTTAACATCTTCAAGCTTGCACAAGCAGAAACTTATGCACGTGGATATGGTGCTATTGTAGGATGATGTTCCTGTCACTTCAATACTGTCGTAGTCCCTGTTGTGGCGAAATTTTGTCCCACAGATGAATGAAGGAAATAAGAGACGAGCCTAGGGCAAATACGAGACGCTCTTATCTCAACTGGTGGCGCGTTCTGGGCGAGCCATTTTGTGTTTTTTATGATTCTTGGTTGTGTTCGTTTGCTTGTGGCCCGGCGGGGGGAAATTGAGGATAGAGGCACGTCCTACATTGAATCCATCAAACTGGCAACTGTCGCTGGTGACAAGCATTTAGGGTTGCTTGGAGATATGGCTGGCTGTTCGCACATATACGGCGATTCTAAGGGGGTGACACTAGAAGGGACTCGGCGGGGAATATTTTGGTCAGCGTTGTGTGTGGGTTGTCAGGATGCCGATGGTGTGCGCCAAGAGAGCGGTTCCGGGTGTCAGGTGCCCGCTTTTTTGACACACGGGGCTCCCTTGAGCGTAGCAACCCTTTTTTCGTCACTCGTGCTCCAATCCCGCGCGACCATCTCTCCGCCTCGAGGTTCAAAGACCGTATCGATCGTAACACTTTTTTTCTCCTTGTCGTTACGTTACCATGTTATCCTTGCAGCTGATGGGAACGCCAGGGATTGGCGCCGACGACAGGCTCCAGGCGGAGTGCGCCGCGGCGGAACCTTGGGCCTCCCGCCAATCAAAGCAGGGCGCCCGCAACGACAACGGCGACGACTTCGTCTCAAGCGAAGAGAGCGAACACGAAGACGAGGAGGAGGGCGGCAGCCATCCCGACTGCGCTGAGGAAGAAGAGGGAGTCGGAGAAGAGGAGGAGGCTGGTTGGACGATGGTCGATGTCGAGAGGGAGGAGGGGAGGGGGGACAAGGTTGAGCTGAGCGAGCGAGAGCGGGCAAGAACGTCGGCGGAGAAAGAGGCGCTCAAGGCTGGAATTTTCTGACAAGAGTTGTATGCTGACGCTGATTTTTTTTTTTCTTCCTCAAGAAGGAGGGAGTGCTTGACAGTAGCGTAACACATTGCGTGGCCGATCGAACTTACTGTTGGTTGTTTTTTTGTGTAAAGCTGGGAGAGGTTGCTGTTCGTAAAGAAGAAGGTGTAGCTGCGTGCTGGGGGACACATGTGTGTGTTTGAGTGGAAGAAGTGAGAGAGCACTCCAGCCGAGAACATGAGTTCACTGCTGTTGAATTCAAAATTGTATGTAGGTTCTTGCTCTAGCTGCCATTCCTGGTTTGTGGAGAGCGCTACAGCAGTAGTTCGTTTGTACACTTGTGAGGAAAGAGAGTGCTGCCCTCTTCTCGCGTTGAAAGTCGTGGGGCAAGCATCGCAGGAGGGGTGGGTAGGGGATCTCAGGGAGAGGAATCCTTAGGCGTTACCACGGATTGGAGAGAGCTCCTACCGGGCAGAAATACTATGTGTGAGCGCTGATGTAAAGCGATAGGTAAAAAGTAATGGAGTCGTGTAAATACCCTCCGTGTTGTTGATGCAGGCCGGGAGTCCGTAAGACGGCTAGCACCTAATTTTTTGTAGCCATGTTCTAAGAGGACGGTCGTCGTGGCGAAACCGCGGTACCGCTGATTTGGGGCGACGTAAAATCAAAGGCATGAAGGTACGTTTAAGCTCGAGACGCTCCAGCATGACGGCTCTCGGTCGGGCAGGACCATGGGACACCACGCCTTTACCCTATACCCCAGCCGGACCAAGAGGGGGACAAGTAAGATTTCTATCGCGCGCCAGGAAGACCAGACAGCGATGACGGCTGTATGGATCGCAAACGTCTTGGAACCACCCTCAACTAGATGTGTACAATACGAGGGCAAAAGTTTTACGACGTAGACATGCTGCAGCTACGACTGAGCCCGTCTTCCAGGGTAGCTTCACCTCGGAATGATCGTCGGAACGACTCTGGACAAGGTAGGGAACTTCGCACCTGTGAGGGCCTTGCCTGCTGCGTTGTGCAGCAGTGCTACGAACCGTACCTAGCCACCTGTCGACAGACGCTCCTGGCTGTTGTGCCCCCGCATTTTCAGGAGTCACACATGTCACATGCAGGTGCGCGTCATCTTGAGGGGGTTCTAGAGCAGATAGACAGATGGCGCGTCGACATCGTGACGGCCTTCCCAGAGAGGATGGATACATGATACATCCGTCTTTTTCAGCACTTTCTTGTCCTCACGAACACCACAGAATAAACAACAACCCACGTACACGCACCTATTCTCCCTATCAAACGCCGCCGCGCCAACAAAATCGCGGGACCTGGCCCATAAGTCCAATGCAGCCAAAAGCTCAACTAAAAATCCCGTCCGGAAGACCCGCTCAACACCGCAGGCCGCGGGCAGGCAGACGAAAGAGAACACTTAAGCGTGTGACGTGTGATGAGAATCTCGTTCAGTACAAAGCAGACACCCTAGCGACAGAAAGACGAGACACCGTCCGTGACGCTGCTGCTGCTGCTGCTTGTCGCGACAAGAAGGCGGTAATGAAGGAAAGCTACAATCTATTAGTCATTCATGCGGTCTGCTCACGCCCCCCCCCCCCCCCCGGGGGGGAAAATAAGGGAAAAAAAAAAAAATTCCAAAATTTTCCCTAAAAAAAAAAAAAATAACCCCCCCGGGGGGGAATAAAGTAATAACATAAAAAAAAAAACCCCAAAATCTGGGGCCGGAATCCCCCGGGCAAAAAAATTTTTTTTTAACAACCAATCCTGGGGGAACCCCGGACGGAAAGGTGGGGGAATTTAAAACCTTTGGGGAAGAGGAACGAAGTTCGGGGATTAAAATCCCCGGGAAACAAACCGGGAAACAAAAGACTTAAAAGGGGCGAGGGAAAAAAAAAAAAAAACCAACAAAAAATTATCCTGGGTTTTTTCCCCCCAAAAAAAGGAAAAATTTAAAAAAAGAAACCCCCCCCCCCCAAGAAGAAGAACAAGAAGGGCGAAAGTAATAAAAGGGGGGCGGGAAAAAAAAAAAGGAAAACAAGGAAAAAATCTCTTTTTCTCCCGGCCACTGAAAATTATTTCCAATGAACCCTAAAACTTTTGGTTTAACCCCCAAAAAAGGTGGCAAATAATGGGAAACCCCCACCCTTTTTACGGGGATGGTAAAATAACTTAATTACTTTTCCGGGATTAAAACCCCCCCCGAAACCAAAAAACTTTAAGGGGCTTTTG